CCCTTTGCGGGGCACTTGTTAAAATGACTGATTTGCAGCCTCCCCTGCAGACATTGAGTCAGCCATGCCTGGGACACCCCATTTGACTCTTGGGTTAGGCAAGTTTGGCCCCCTCGGCAAGATGGGAAATATCTGTCTGCAGGCAGAATCTGCCCTAGTTCTAATTAATCAGAATTAAGATAATGCCAGAAATTTATTAAGTTTACTATCTGCTGGGTGCAGTATAAGTTACATATGTATTTTCACTTCTAATCCTCCAACATCCTTATTGAGAAGGACCTAGCATTTCACCCATTTTTACAGATCAGAAAATTGATCTGAGAGGTTGCATCATGTGGTCAGGGTCATGGCAACAGCAGGCCTCAACAGAAATCATTTCCTGAGAAGAGCCAGAGATCTGCGTCAAGTTTCCAGCTCTGCTGCCACTGGGGACCTGACTGTGTCTTGCAGCAGGCTGGAAGTCATCTGCACAAAGGGGCTTTTCTCTGCCTCCCTCAAGTTGCTGTGAGAAGCACAGGAAAGTGAATGCAGAAGTGCTTCATACAGGGAAGCAGGCTACAGCTATAGAGTACGGGCTCCTCGCTGAACTTTCCCTGCAGCTAGCACATTTGTAATTCAGATGAATAGTAGCTGATAGAATTGTGACTGAGAAATTTAATTTCTGGATATGATACCAAAAGCACGGTCAACAAAAGCAAAAATATACCAGTGGGACTACATCAAACTAAAAAGCTTCTGCACAGCAAAGAAAATTATCAGCAATGTAAAAAGGCAACCTATGGAATGGGAGAAAATATTGGCAAACCATGTATCTGTAATGGGTTTTATGTGCAAAATACACAAGAAATAACTACAACTTGGTAGCAAAAAAACCCCAAATAACCTGATTTAAAAATGAGCAAAGGACTTGAACAGACACTTCATTTGAATAGACCACCCACTGCAAACTCTGAAAACTGCCCTTGCCTCTATCGTTTCCTTCTGGGGTTCTTTTTCTCCACGTAGACAACCATGAAGTTGCAAAGGCTCCAGTTCCAAGTGTCAGACTGATACAGAATGCCGATAGTTTGAGTCGGTCTCCACACAAACCCCTCCTAGAACCCAGTGAGGCCTGTTGTCAGAGCAGGAGTACGTGATGGCAGTGGAATCGGAACTCTTAACAGCCTGCCTCAGGACTTCTTCAGCACAGCACTTTTCTCCCTGCGTTTCTGTCCATTGTCTGTGAAATTATTCTATTTTGTCTTCATTTTTACCCTCTACTTCAGCTTTCCTTTATTCTGGTTCAAAACTTTCCTCCAGAGCCTTATTTTGTAGCCTCAGCAAACTGTACTATAAACCTTCAGCATTCAACCACATTTGCAGAGTCTCTATCGCTGTAACTCTGATCCCCTTTTAGTTCTAAACATACCGGATGACACTGAGTGCTGCTTCCTATTGAGCCACCTGGTAAACCATGTACATACTCAAAAGCATAGATGAGGCAGTCACAAAGAAAAGTTCAGGATCAGGTGTACGTGATGAGGGATGGGTGTAGATTGAGGGAAGAATGGGAAGATCCTGTACAAAGAAGCAGGTACTATGGTAATTAAGACATTGACTCTAGACTGCCCAGTCCTTATAAGAGAGACAAAGCAAGGCTTAGTGGGCTTGGCAATTCCATAACAGATGAAAGTAAGGGGCGGGGAGAGGAAGGGATGAAAGGATACCTGGTTATTAAATCTTAAAAGAAGAGCTACCAATTTCCACTCATTATCAAAAAGGGTCTACAGCCTAAAGGACTCACAGGGCTCATCCAGTCTCCTACCCCACATTTGCAAAGAGGGAAGTAAAGCCCTGAGTACCCCAACTTAGAAAATAAAAATATAGAATATTTAAATTTGAATTTCAGATGAACACCAATTTTTAGTATTAAATATGTCTCAAATATTGCATAGGATATACTTGTACAAAAAATTATTTATCCTATATTTTATGTATTTTATATGGCAATCCTACCTCCCTTCATAAAGGTTACGTGGTCTGTTATGACAGACCCAGAACTAGAATCTGGACTTTTTGTCTTTCAGGGGGACAAGAATGCCTGACAGTGCTCCAGGAGCCCCTCACCATACCTGAGTGGTCATCACTAATAAACCACTTCTGTTTGTAAGTCTTTGTACTGTCATAAGTAAATTAATCTATGAAAAAGACAGATTCCATTAAAGGGGCTATTTACCTTTTTAACCATGACATATCCAGCGTTGGTTTGGGGATCTGTTTCAATCCCCAGGCATCCCTCACTGTCTCCCTCTGTAATACGGTACAGGATTTTAGAGCTTCCAGTATTTGGCTCATCAGCATCAGTGGCCTGGATGGTTAAGATGACAGACCCGACAGCCGTGTCTTCAGAGAGAGTCAAGTTTCCATACTAAGAAGAAAACAGAGAGAGGAAATATGAGAATGTCCCTTGTCATCAAGCATAATTGCCAAAGGGCAAACTTGTCTCTTTGGTTTCCCGATGGACACAAGTCATAGTCTGCATCAATACTTAGCAAGAACGTTTTTCCCACTGATGAATACGTTGCAGTTGACTTTGACATCAGCTATATTCATAGACCAATATCCATTGTACCAGTAAACACAATGTCTCAAAGAGCTACTAGTAGGATTTCAAAACAAATTCCCCTTTCCACATTCAATATGTTTAATAAGGATAATTATTATATTAGTGATAATATTAAAAAATTACTATGTATTGAGTACCTATAATGTGTCAGTACTTTACATACATTATTTGGATCAAACAGCCTGGATATGAATCCTAGGCTTGCCACTAATGAGAGGGGTGACCTGGCTTCTCTAAGTCTCCATTTCATCATCTAGCTAACTGAAATAATAATAATAGAACCTGCTTCCTGTCTGCTGTGGGGATCAAGAGAAATACTGCACTTAAAGCCCCTTAATTCCTGTCACATAGTAAGTAGAGTGGACCCTTGAATAACATGGGTTGGAACTGCACAGGTTTACTCATCCATGGTTTTTTAAAAAAATATATATTAGAAAATGTTTTAGAGATTTGTGACAATTTGAAAAAACATTTTCTTTTATCTAGCTTACTTTATTGTAAGACTATCATAAATAATACACATAACATGCAAAATAGGTGTTAATTGACTATTTATGTTATCAGTAAGGCTTCCAGTCATCTATTATCCATCTATAATCCAGTAAGCTATTAGTGGTTAAGTTATGGGAAAAGTCAAAAGTTATACTTGGAATTTTTACTGTACAGGGGGTTGATGCCTCTAAGTCCCACATTGTTCAAGGGTCAGCTGTACTTAATGAAGATAAGTGACAAAACACCTTATTAAGTGGCTGTATTATCAACTCCACTTGACAGAAGGGCAGAGAATTGGAGATATAAAATCCATGCAAGACCACACAGCTAATGAGTCACAGAATTAGGATTCAAACCCAGGTTTGTCGAGAGCCAAAGCCTCTGCTCCTAATCGCTGACCTAGGTCATCTCCCACTCTGCCACTGAAAATCCCCCGGCTCATCTCTCTGGGCATCGTGACCTTCAAAATGGCCAGAGGCAGGGACAGGAGAGGACATGACAATGAAAGAAACCAACTCACTCTCTCGATAGCCCAGTTTGCATTTCAAAGCTCTGAGACTCCTCAATCTAAAAGCCAAGGTAGGTGAAATGCAAGGAAATCACAACACAAGGAAAAGATCATGAAGGCTGAGAAGAAGTGGGCTCTCTATCTCTTGTTGCTCAGTCTCTGTGTCTGTTACACAAGATACGTTCAGTCTCTTACTGCCCAAAACCCTCTCATAAATCAATTCCCTTTCTTTGTCAAAGCCTCGTTCCTATTTTGATATATTATCATCATCATAGGGCTCTGGGCTGCCTCATAGCTGACTTCAAACATGACATAACAATCTAGTCAAATGGGCTTCTCTCTGTTCCAGAACACATAGAGACATCCTTTTAAGGGGAGCAGTGATAAAACCACCCCAAATGTAAAGCCATCAAAATAAGTAAACACTTTTTTATGTTCTCAACTAATCTTTTTTCTCCTGCTCTTTCTGTGTAATTCTCCTACTTCTTGCAAATGCCTTGAGCACATTTTTTTAAATTTAAAACAAAGATTGGTTTTTTTCTTCTCCTTTTCTCTTACTTTTATGCGAAATGAATTTAAATTGCCAATATTCCAAATATTAAATTTTTGACTAAAAAATGCTTAAGACCTAACAGTAATCTGTTTATTGTCACAAAATATATAATGACAAATTGCAAGTAGCCATTCAACTCCTTTTCATTTGACAAAGACTGTGGTTGTAGCTTTTAAGCAGTCCTTGGAATAAATGAGCCACTGGCAGAAGTTTATAAACAGATGTTCTCAGATACTATAACAGTGAATGTTATTGTTCCCTGAAGATTTCACTGAAGATGGTGTCTGGGTTTGTTAGCTGTGCATTAACTAAGGCTACCTGTTGCATCTGGCATTTTTTCTAACTACTCTCTGTGTCTTTCTTTGATAAGCAGGGGTCAAGCAATATGAACAAAGGAAAATACAGTGAGTGACAATTACTCACATCTGATTTTTCAAAGATCGGTATCTGATCATTGATATCGATAACGTTGATTTGCACGTGACAGCGGGTCGTGAAATCTGAAAATTAAAGTCACATAACAAAAATTTTTACTGAAAATCATGCATTAAAATCAGAAATCTGCAGGAGAAACACTGGCAAGGAGAATGACAGCCATAGCTTCAATTTTGCTACCAACAGGCAGTTTTTGTTGCGACAGGACTTTGGGCTCCCCGCCCGCACCCACAACCAGGTCACTGAGGGGGGCTGCAGACAGCCTGAGAGAAGTTCCCCCAGGCTTCCCATTGCCCTCCACCTGCCCCCTCCTGGGGTAGGCTAGATCCTGAGCAAGACAGTTCCAATTCTGTGAGGCAGCCTCTCTTTTCTAACTAGTGAAACCTATGTAGCCTTCAAAGCCCAGTGCAAAACCATCCTCTCAGAAAGCTTGCCCTCTCAGCACCCCAGCTGGCTGTCTTTCCTTCTCTGAACACTTCCAACACTTACCACCCTACATCTCCTCTGCCCCTAATGGTGGGAAGGTTTGGGGTGCCTGCTCCTTCCCCTCCAAGTAAGGGAGGAAGTGGTATGATCAGTCCCCACCTGATACTTCGATACTCTGAATCATGCCTCAATCAAGGCCAACATTCAGTAGCTGTTTGCTGGAAGAATGGATGGCTAATTGTGTGCAATTGTTAATTCATCATGGACAGTGATGATTTATTATACTCACTTCTGTTGAACATCTTAGACAAATACTAGGCCCTTAATATTTGCTAAATGACTATGTTTCAAACATTCTGCATTGGGAGCCTGTTAGACCCCAGTTCTTTTCAGTATATCAACATTTGTGTAAAGGGAAAAAAATGTGAAGCATAGTGTGAAATGATACTTTTTTACTCTCCATATCTGCATAGTCTGTGTCTCCTAGCATAACAGTTACTGAACTATTTGGTGATCTAAGATATAGTGGTAATTAGCCCAAAGAAAGATTCTCAACCTAGGAGTGTACATGCCCTTAAAATAAGCCTCTTTCTGGGCACAAGTATTTTTGTGTATCTGTGCACAGATGTCTAAAAATGTGTACATTTGTCTGAGAATGCAGTTTTCATCAGGTTCTCGAAGGGTCTTGGGACCCCACAAAGATTAAGAACCACTTGCTTTGAAATTATATAAGGAGTAGGGAAGAATGTCTCCTGATATAGTCGAATGGCCAACGAGAAGCTGATAGAAGACAGCACTTCCCAAAAGATGCATTTCTTACCCACCTTCACACAGTAGAATCCTTTGAGTCCAAAAGGGAAAATTGGGAAATGCAATTAGTTTTCTTGTTCGTGATCACAGAAGCCGTGAGAACATGCCTTGTCAACCTCCAATAACAAGAATCTTAATTCAAGATGGCACTAACGCTGTGCTCTGAAATCCATCACTTTGCACCATGGACCTGCTTCCCAGTGGAAGTAAAGGTGGAGCAAGGCAGACATGCTAGGGCAGGTCTATTCCTGGGGACCAGGGGCTCCTTTGATAGCCAACTTTGGACTCCCCCATGATCTTGCCAAACCTTCCTGTGACTGCTCAGGGGTCTGTGGTACTCCCACTAGCCTTCCTTCCCTCTCTCCTTCACTCAGGGTCAGGCTTGTGTTGTGATCTGATAGCTCTCACAGACTTCTGGAGACCTCTCACCATTTTTTGCTCACAGGCACTTCCCCTAATAAAATTCTTACACATTTAATCCCCTCTTGCATCTGCTTCTCAGAGGACTGGGACCAACACAATAACATTGCCTGAGCTGTAACTCTGGCCTTTTCCATGTTGGACCAGCTGCTCCTTGCTGCGTATGTTTTACACAGGAAGCAAGAACTCTTAAATGGCATTAGCGTGGACTAACTGATCATAGCTAGAAGGAAAACAAGTATTTCCCCTCTTGATGGAAAATGTGATACTAACCTTTGTCAGACACGTTCACAACCAAGTGGTATTTTGGAGTGTCTTGCTTCCTCAAGGAATGCTTAGCTAATTGGAATATTCCCGAGTAGGTTTGGACCAGGAAGAGTCCTTCTTCAGGAAATCTTGGGGTTTGCTCTGCAATTTTGTATACTAAAATACTGTTGACAGAGTTTTCTTCATCCATGTCATGGGCTGTAAGAGTCCCAATATTGCTTCCTATGGAGAAGGAAAAAAGAAAACCCATCCATCACAGGCTCAGTGTTTCTGGAAGATAGAGGTCTGAGATCAAGGTGTCAGGAGGGCTGGTTTCTCTGAGCCCTTTCTCCTTGGTTTGTAGATAACTGTTTTGTGTCTTCACATGGTCATTCCTCTGTACATGTCTGTGTCTAGATTGTCTCTTCTTAGGACACCAGTCTTATTAGATTAAGACCCAGACTAATGACCTCATTTTAACTTAATTACCTCTTTAGAAACCTTATCTCTAAATTACAGTTCCCCTTTGAGGTTCTGGGGCTTAGAACTTCACTGTATGTATTTGAGGGTACACAATTCAGCTTGTAACAATGTCTTACAAAAATTCAGGTCCACCCAGAACTTCAAATGTGACTATTTGCAGATTTAAAAATGGTCTTGAGGTGAAATCAGCCTAGATTTAGAGTGGACCCTAAATCCAGTGATTGGTGTTCTCACAAGAAGAGAAGACACAGAGACACACACAGAGAAAGAGGCAGTGTGAAGAAGGAGGCAGAGACTGGCAGCCAGGGAATGCCATAAGCTACCAGAAGCCAAAGAGGCAGGGAAGAATTCTACCCTAGCTGGCATCTTGATTGTAGACTTCTAGCCTCCAGAATGGTGGGAGAATAAATGTGTGTCGCTGTCAGCCACCAAGCTCATGGTACTTTGCTGCTCTCAAATACTGACGCACAGGCAACCGGTGTAACTGAACAAGGGCAAGACAACGACAGGCTACTTCCAAACAACTTCATGGAGCCATTGCAGACACTGACTCCACCCCAAAGATAAGGTGAGGCAAAGATCAGGCGCACATGCTCTCTGCCTTGCTGCAGTTTACAGCCTCATGTATTTTATTCCTGTGCATGTTTCAGTCCAGGAAGTTACAGAAGTCAGAGGCTATGATTCAGTGCTCCCCTCTGCTCTAGATGACTTCTGATAGGTTCTAGATCATCTTGCTTTGTGAAATAAGAATTATGGTTTCTCTACATGCAGCAAGAATTCCCCCTTAGGGCTAAAACTTCACTATATACCTTTTGTCGACTTAGGTTTCACCCTCTCCCCCATATCCACTTACTTGTATGGAAATTTGGAGGTCTTTTGTGGGGAGGCAGGGAAGCACATGTGTTATATCTGAAGTGGAGCTGGACACATGCAGAAATGTCTCGTGGGCTGGGGAGGGGTACATGATGAGTGATAGAGTAGAAGAGAATGTGTATCTAGTGTAGAAGCAGCTGCTATATCTGAAGCCATCCCAACAAAGTCACTTTTGCCCTTTATTAGAGCAGTCATGCATCTTCCCTTACAAAAAAAAAGTATCTCTGAAGACAAGTAATGACTCTATAGCATCTTACTATGCTGATGGACAGTGACTGTAATGGGGTATGTGGTACAGACTTGATAATAGGGGGAATCTAGTAACCACAATGTTGCTCAAGTGAAACCTGAGCATAAGATTGTATATCAATGATACCTTAATAAAAAAAATGTATCTCTGCGTTGGAATAGAAGAGTACCCTACTAAATTCTGGGTCCCTTGGTGTCTGAGAAGCGCTGCTTTGGATCTTCCCCTCGGCAAGTGAGCATCGCACACACTACACCGCTCTTCTCTTACACCGCAGGAAACCTCCAACCATCAGAGGCACTGTGAGGACCACCGACATCAGTGACCAGAGGAATGCCAGTAGAGGGCATTGCTCAGGGGGAGCAGAGAACTTTGTGGGTGAGCCAGAAGTGAAAGGAGTGCCATGTCTCTGAGCGATAAAAACCAAGAACAAGTGACATCCCAAATTGGGGCATCTCTTGGGGCACTTGGAATACGTTAGGGAGGTGGGGCTTTTATGAGGCACTAAATTTCTCGTATGAACACCTAGGACTTGGTAGCAAGTGGGATTTCAGAATTAATGTTGGCACGCTAAGACTTGGGGACATGAGTCCCACAAGATTCTGATGATAGAAGATATCAAAGAGGAGAATATAAACATACTGAAGAATAATTTAGTGTTTTATTGACCAAGACAGTAAGTGCTCAAAGAGCAGGGGCATTGTTTTATACCTCTTTTAGGCTACGTATATAGAAGAGACTCCCTCTCTATTGATTTAGAAGAATTCCTGGTCCATTAAATCCACCATTCAAGACTTCGTGAATTATTGTTACAAAATAACTTCTCCTCTTTACAGAGGCAAATAGTACACCTAGCCCCTGAACAACTTACTCCACCACCACCCACTCCTTCACCTGTCTCAGCAAACTAGCGTTGTCCTCTTCCCAAATGAGGTAGGCAACTTTTAAAAGGGCTCTAAGATGGCTGTCAACAATCCTGCCTCCCTCCCAAAGTTGATGCCTTTGTGTAACTCCCTCCTGCTGAGCCTAGTGATTCCCTTCTAATGAATAAAATATGGAAAAAGTGATGTATGGTACTTCCAAGGTTATAAAAACACTGACTTCCATCTTGCTCTCCATTTCCATCTCTCTTTCTCTCTCAGCTCTCCCCCTGAATCAAAGGCATCCAGTTAAGAAACACCCACATTCCTGACTCACAGAAACTGTGAAATAACAAATGTTTGTTGTTTTAAGCTGCTGAATTTTGGCGCAATTTGTTACACTGCAATAGATAACTAAGACACTAAGTGTCAGGCCCTACACAGACTGGAGGTATCATCCAGAGGGGTGTTCAAAGGTCTTTCACCTTCATCCAGCATCACAGACTTCCCCAGATTTCCAAAAAGGGTGGTGCCACAAGTGTTTCTTGGCTACTGTCACACATTCCATTGTTAAAAAACTGTCACTGTTAGAAGGTTCTTCCTTATAATTGACCAAAATCCTTCAAACCATCATATAACACTTCCTGTTGTAGCAAGAATTAGAGTAAATAAAATAAAGGGGACCTAAGCAGAACACACTGGTAATAGTCAGCTTACATATGACTCCTGACAGCAAAAAGAAAAATAATTAGCTCACACAAGCAAGCTGCGAGAGCAGGACTCATCAAGCCTCCAGGACGTGGGTCAAAGGTGTGCGGTGAGAAGGGTAGAGAGATCTAAGGAAATGAAATGTCCCACAAGGCGTGCGAGGACCTGCCTAGGGGGTGAGCAAAGCCCTAGGGAGGGAATCATAAGAGGTTGCTGACCTTGGAAGCCTCTGGAACTTACTTACATGAAACAATGGCCAAAAACATTACAAGAAAGCCAGCCTGCTCAGTCAATGGGCTCAACACCAAGGGGTAATTGATAAGATTTGTTCCACATCCAGGGAAATCCTTAAACTCCCAGAAATCATAGTGTTCTCATAGTAGTTGTCTGTACAAAACTTAAGTTATCCGTAAGACACAATACAAGAAACAAAGCAAGTCAAGAACCAAAGGACAAAAACTGATAGGATCTGAACTTCATCTACCAGCCTCCTGAACTACTATCAACTTCCTAGAGAGGGAAGATCCAGGGTCAGAAGTCAACTTCCATTTATAGTGCTTACAGCAGGGTATCTGAACCTGGGGGTAAATGTTTAAGTCATTTAGCAAATTTGATGAGATTTTATCTGTTACTGAGTTTGTCAGAGAGCAAATAAGAATCTACAGGAAAACCTTGCCTGAGATAAACATATGTATACAGGATACTGGTTGTGGTGCTGGTGGTAGTGGTAACGATGGTAGTAGTACTATAATGGAGGTCACAGTAATAGCCATGGTAACAATTGTGGTAGTTATAAAAGTTCCAGTTTAAGAATACTACCCAGATGTTGTTTGAGCCAAAATACTGTACCTGTATTAGTCCCAAGATGCATTCAAACTATACTGGGCCAGACATGGACAACTGATCCCCAATGAGATTTACCTGCCCGTCTTTTACCCAACAGACAAGAGGAGAAAAGGATTACAGAGTTAACATGGGGAGAACAGTTACACAGCTTTGAACAGCTCTTGTTTCTTACCTATTCTTTCATTCTCCTGGACCTCAAATATAGTCAAAGAAGATGGACATGTAGGTGGATTATCATTAATGTCTTTAACTTTCACATGAATCTGTAGTGGCAATGCAAGTGGTTTTCCATGCTCATCCTTTGCAACCGCATAAAAAATATACTACAACAGGAAATCAGAGTTAAGACATGATCCCTTTATCACCTCCTTTAAAAGGCAAAGAAAACATCTGTGTCATTAACCCCCTCTTTTTCAGTTTACTTAGAACTGGGAAGCAGGAGAAAATGAAATGGGTCAGATCTGTGGGGATAGTATCATGCCTTTGAGAATAACATACCAGGGTTCAGAACACAGTCTGAGGCTTTTTTGGGTTGTTGGGGGTTTTTTTTCATTTGCTTGGTTTTTAAAGTAAAATCGATTCTGCTTTCAGCTGCCCATGGGTGCAGGGCTTTATTTTGTTGCCTGTGAAACAGCTCCCAGTTTTACTCACTGAATCCTTTTCTTCTCGGTCCAAGGGCTGAGTCACATAAATATCTCCTTCCTGGTTGATTGAAAATGGGAATCTGGGCAGCTTCTCCTTTTCAACTAAGGAATATTGTGCATCTCGCTCATTCCACCGCACCTACAGGGCCCAAAGTAAATTGTGAGGGAAAATACATCTGGACAGAAAGAACTGGAAAAGAAATAATTTTCGGGTTCTCAATTTGAAATTTCTGACAACCCTGTTTGTGTGTCTATGGGGTTTTTTTTGTAATTATTGAATTACATTTTCATTTTCAACCTAAAATAAGCCTTTTTTTCTCTTTCCTAACAAGTTATATTGCTCAGAAAAAAGCCAAGTATTTTTCTTCTCCAAAGCAATTCTTTGTGAACCCTCAGAAGAGTTTGTGCATTGTTATTTTCGAAGTCTAACTGTGAAGGCTTCATATCCATGAAACACTAATTTAAGAAACAAAATGTACTTAACAGAATTAGGTGAGGATTAAGCCATGATTTATGACCAGCTTCTAAAACTCACCAATGAAGATGATAAGAGTGATAGGAGACACTTTAAGCTCTTCTCCATTTTGTTATTTAAGACATCTGATACATAAAGTACATTCCTCCCTTAAATAGTTTTATAGACTTCAGAGACCAGAATAATTGCCAACTCCTGGCATTATATTTTATCAGCTTGGCAAAAACAAATAAATAAATTCAACAGTAAGACCAGTGAACTTGCTACAGAGAGGCTGGCCTCTCTGATGTTCTAATAGTAATGTCACACTTACAGAGGGTTTACCACATGCCTGGCACAATTCTAAACACTTCCATGTATTATCTCTAAATCCACAAGCAACCCTATGAGGCAGAGACTATTATTATCCTCATTTTATAAATGAGGAAACTAGGGCACAAAAACTCAGCTATTTGAAATTTCCACACTAAACTATTCTCTCAGACCAGGTATCAAATACCTTGCAAAGGGTGTCAAGGAACCACCATTGTCCCTTGCTGGGTATTTAAGGACCACCCTCTGTTGAAACCAAAGACCATGTTGTTGGTTCTAAGCAAGCTTCCCTTGTGCCCTAAAAATTCAGTCTGAGTTCTTCTGCCTTAAGCTGCCCTCTCCAGTCTTCTTCTTGGGCTTCAAAACACCCAAAGCACTTTCCCCAGTACTGGGTGTTGGGTGTGATGTCCCTGAATTTCTTTTCTTTGACAGCCCCAGGAGCAAACAAGCACATTTGTTCTGGTTAGCATTATAATCTTTGTGGGGTTGACCTAAATAATAAATTTATTTAGACTTCAGGAATGATTTTCAGTAAAATCTGAAATTCTCACAGTAGTGATTCATGACACACTTTCTTAGCTGGTAAGGCAGAATGCCCCTTGCTTTCATTTCTTTTTCACCAGGAGGTCAAGTTGATTAATTCTACATTCAATAAATGAAAATCCTTTCAGGCCAGACAATAGATATGATGGGCTGGGCCTTTCCAGGGTCCCTTAACCTCAACAGTGACATTTTCTTTTAAATCTTAGGTGAACTACACACTGGGAGTTTACATAACATTAATACTTTTTATCCACCTTCAAAAACACTACCTTTCAGTTAATCTCCACAACAACCCAGAGGGTGTTACTATCCCCATTTTATTGATGAGAAGTTGGGATTAAGAACAGTTAAATGACCTATTCACTGTCAATCATTTAAGCAATAGCGCAAGGACGTGATTTTGGTTATCTGCTTCCAAACCCAGAGCTCTCTCACTAGCCCACAGATTTCATGTCAAGGAGCCTCCTGATTGATCTTCCAGAAAAGATCAGATCTGGGTGGCACCCAGATTGTATATCCAAGAGCTCTAAGGTAGGAGGGAGCCCAGGGTGAGAGCATCAGCCATGGAGGTGAGAAGCAGGGAGCATTTACAAGGAAAGAAGTGGCACACACAAGACGTGCCACTGGCGGAGGGTAATGTCCTAAGGTAAAGATTGCCCACTCACTTCTTACTCTCATCCAGTCCTATGTCTCTCCCTCAACCTATGATGGGAGAATCTATTGGATAGAAATATTTCCCATTTCCCACAAGACTGAGAGGCAGCCTTTCAGAAATATTTGACACCCCAAATTAAAATCATGTACCAGTACCATGGCCTGTGCACTATGCACAGCCCACTCTCATGCAGCGACAGTGAATAACAAACATCAGTGGCATTTACTTGGAAGGTGAAAGTGAGTGAAGTTCTCTTTTGAAGTTCAAATGTGTGTGTGTGTGTGTGTGTGTATCTCCAAATCCAAGTTGGCAAAGTCCAGAGTTTACCCATGATCGTAAACTCCAGAGAATTGGAGCCAGAGACTTTGTCTTTTTAGTTTGTTTTATAGTTGTGCTATGCAAAAATGTACCTAATAAATGTATCAGTGAAGACCATGAGGGTGAGTCCCCACAAAGTGAGGCCATTGCATAGAAGGCTCTAGGCATTTCTTGGGCACTACCTGAGTGACTTTGATGGGGTGAGGATCAGTCGAGTTTTCTACAATCTCCAGAGGTTCTGGTGCTTTCCAAATATTCTCCTTCACTGTAATATCCACCGACGTGCTGACACTGAAGGAATTCTCATTCTGGCCTCCCATGTCCTTCACGGAGACCACCAGATTGTAGGAAGGATTCTTAATGGGATCCAATTCCAGAGATCCTATGGCAGGGAGGGGAGAAGAGAAAAGGAAATATCTCTGAAGGCGAGGCATATCTAGGCTCCTTTTTCTGACTCAGACAATCCCATGAGGGCATCACTTACCTTCTCGGGTAAGTGAAATTGCCCCTGTTTTGTTGTTGATCTGAAAGTACATGACATTGTTGACCTTGGGAAGCTGGATGACAATCTGGTAAAAAAGCTGACCGTTTGGAGTAGATGGATCATCCAAATCTGTAGCATTGACATACATGAAGGGCTTTCCTGTTTGACCAAACATACCCAGAAGAAAAAAAATGGGTATTAATTGAAACTCAAACTAACCACAGTCACTTTTACTTTCTAAGAAGTGAAGATAGAATGAGGAAGGGAACCATAAGTCATATCAGTGAAGAAATAAGTCTTTATTCTGCTCCTTTTCTCTAGTACGTGGTTTCTCAAAGTATGGTCCAGAGCTAGTAGAGATCTAAATCTCTACAAGTCTATTTTCAGGGCCAGTGCAGTCAAAACTCATGCATGTATAAGATCCTTTCAAAGCACAGGATAATTCAATGGATTTCAGCGTAAAGGAATACCAAAAATAGGCATTGTTACAATTTCAGATTCCACATTGCATCTGGCCTTTAAGAACCCCACTTGCTGAGTTTTGGTAACATCAAAGAGCATCCAAAATTATCTGAAAATGCTATTACAATACTTTTCTCTTTTCCAACTACATTGTCTGTTGAAAGCAAGTCTTTCTTCATATGTTTCAGCCAAAACAACATATGGCAACAGATGAATACAGAAACAGAGAATCCAATTGTTTTCGATTAATCCAGACATTAAAGAGATCTGCAGAGATTAAAACAATGTCATTCTTCTTAATAATTCTTTTTGTCTTTGAAAATATAGCTACTTTGAAAATATATTTAAAATATAGGATATTTTAAATAACATATACTATTAAATACTTATAAATATTTTTAAAATATTTATTAAAATGTTTAAATATTTTTAATTTTTCCATTTTAATTTATAATATTGACAGATTTAACAAGTGATGTACTGGAGCCAGCTCATGGCAGTCAATTGTTGAATTTTCAGAAATTCTGTGAGCCAATTATAACACCTTTGGTAGCTTAAAATAGGCTATGGTGGGAGTATTTAGACCATGGAAACCGGCAAATGCTACAAAACAGGGATTTTCACACCAGAGAGTCAGCTATTAAATATTTATCATCATACTACTAGATATAGCCCACATATCTAGAAGTTCTTTGGAATGATTAATAATTTTTAAGAGAATACAGGAGCCCTGAGACAAAAAAGTTTGAGAATCTCTGATCGAGAAGATCCTACCAGTGAAGGGGAAAAAGGTAAGACCTGAAAGATCCCTACCTAACAGTTTGTGAGTCTTTGGTATGCAATCTCAGGAACAGAGACAGTGAAATTGCTCCACATAATAAAGTGGAAGGAATATTTTTCCTAGGTTATTGGAAGTGGGCACTGAAGAATGAGAGAGACAGAAAATTAAGTAACTGAGTCGATGAAAATATCCAAGAGTCTTTCCGAGAACTCAGAAGTCTAGTATTCATGTTTATTTTGTGCACTGGTAAAATGGGATTGCCCCTTCAGCTCTCCAAATCTTCAATAGAGCCTGCGGCACACACCTACGCCTTGAGGAAGGGCTTTTGTGGACATGAAAGGTAAAAGCATAGTGAAGGGATGAACCATAGCTGGGAACTCGAAGGGAAGGAAAGTAACTTGAAGCCGGCAGTGACTGTGCAATTCCTGGGAGAATGTGGGAGAGTCAGCTCACCTTCTCAGAGCATTCTAGAGATCTAAGGTGTTCTAAATCTCATCTTAGCAAAGTGGTTCTCACTGCGGGGTGATTTTGCCCTCCACCCCAGTGACATTTGACAACGTCTGAAGACATCTCTGCTGTCACAACTGAGGAGGTGGGTGTTGCTACAAGCATCCAGTGAGCAGGTGTCAGGTCGGGAATGGAGCTACACATCCTATACTACACAAGACAGCCTCTGACAATGAGAGAATTACTGGGCCCAAGATGGCAATAGTGCCACAGTTGCAAAACTATGTCCTAGAGCAATGGGCATAATAAAACAACTCTCAGAGGGTTACTGTGAAATTTAACAAGAGAGTAAGTGTCTAATGAGTGAGAGCTGTAGCTGTTGGTCACCCAAATCTGCCCCGTCTTCCAGACAACCTTCCAAAAGTATCTCCAGGCTCCTGCCTATTACCTGGGCGAGAGTTCTGCCTTACTGAGCCTTCATACTTCGGCTGAAGAAACACGGGTCTATTGTCATTGATGTCCTTCACTTCTATGATGATGGGGACTGGGCCCTCCACTGTAGCTCCATGAGCATCCAGAGCTGCAACCTCATGTCAGAAAGAAAGGGAAACCACCTTGGTGAGTTGGGACCATATATCACACAACCAAAACTCACCCAGAGACAATTAGAGCTCAAAGAACTAATAACCTGGTGACTATAAGGAAGAAAGACACCAATAAAAGACCAAATTGTGAGCTGCTAAAATAGGGGTCCCATCAGTTAAACCTGGCTAATATTGACAGTGTTTTTCCAGCAGTAGAATACGCTAGATACTGGACAGGTTTCTTTCCTAAACAGTTGGAGTCAGTGAAATAAGAACATTTTGAGCTGTGAGACTATGAAAGTGCCATGAACTCTTACAGAGGCATTTTAGCAGTCAACCTACTGAACCAACAGAAGAAATTACCAGACAGCAACCTTTGGCTCGCTCTTTTTTTTTTCATAATTAGCTCTTTACTGTTCCTGAATATTGAGACCAACCATGAAATTAAAGGGGAAAGACAGAAGGGTCTCTTTAGTTAGCCTCTGGCCATACTTATGTTTCCAGCAAGGCCCAAGGAAACTCACCCCAGTGCTGATGCTGCCTTCTTTGTGGGTCCAAAGCCCACACAACAGCCACAGGCAGATCCCGGGGAAATATCAGAGAAGTGTTGGCTTATGTTTGAAAGAGGTGCCTGAGCATGGCCATACCTGGACAAGTAATGCCATCGGAGGGTCTTGGCAATGTGAGTTGGATTACTTTGGTTAAAAAAAAAAGCCTAAGGAAGAGGGTACCTTTGCTATATCTCTCTGTAATTGGTAAAAATGGACAAATGAGGTTTGCAAAGCATGCCATTAATGACAGGAAAGCTTTAACAGGATTCTGTGCAAGAGATGAGAGTGTCAGAAATACTTCCAGGACAAAGGGTGCTCAAAGAGATTGGAGTTAGGTCCCTTTGTCTGGTCTCAATTCACCTGGAGTTGGTGAACAGCTCTTGTTTCCCTGTCCAGGGCTCTGTTGCGATACAGAAGTCCATCTGGTTGTATCTGAAATATGTCATCTGTCTCTCCAGTTAGTTTGAAATTCACAGCAGGAGGATTGGCCTTAAACTGGGAAGAAAGAAAGATTAAGTTATAAGGAGAAACAATGTCACAGAATTTGTAGAGTCACCAGTTTTAGGTAACATGTTCATTTGTACAATCACTAATAAGTTCTGAGCTTTTAAAGTGATATATTCTTAGAGTGTGCTTGAATATTAACTATTTAACATTCAAAATACATTTCCCTCAAGAAACAATGTATATATGTAATTCACTTATTGACAAAACCCAATTAATACTTTAAATTGTAGCTGAAGTTAGATGGGATTTTTCTGAGGATATCTGAAAGCTTTAACATTATAGCTTCTAAGAAACACTTAAAAAGGTAGCTTTATTGCTAAAATTAAAAAAAAGATGTCATTTAGTGCTTCTAAAAATTGTGGCAAAGATTATGAGACATTTTAATATTAAGGAAAACAATATTAAAGTGCCTTTAACTTGATAAGATTCTATGACCATCTCTTAATTACTTTTTTAGAAATAAAGAGAATATCAACAATTATTCATGGGGTAGCTAGAGCACTTGTAAGACCACAGAATATAAAATTCATATGAAATAAAGCAGACATAAATGTTTAACTTCATTAATAATTTTCATATATTTTATGTATTTTTGTTAACCAATTTAAAATCAATAACAGCCAAAATTATAAAAGATGTAGAGAAACACATAATTTTTGAGAGAAATGTAAATTAATACAATCCTTTTGGAAATAACTTGAGGTATAAAATGTTTATAACCTTTGAATTGAATATTACTAATTAGAATTATCCTAAGGAAATATTTTTAAAACAGTAAACTACATGTTTGCAGTATAATTAGACTTATCTATAGTATTGTCAGAGTTGAAAATTCCTACAGGGTAAAAATGGAAAGATGATGAAATTATTACAGCACGTGAACTTGATAGAATTTTAATAATTAAAATGTTCATGCTACTAATTATGAAGCAGCTTAAGAAACAATCATATGATGTGAAGTTATAAAAGAATGTACAAGTAAATCTAGACTATGATTGTAACAATACCAAATGTATTCATATCAGTGGTCAAGAAAAGGAATTAAAAAAAAAACAGTTGGTGTGTTAAGTAGGTAGGACTATGGGTGAAGTTTTTGTGTTTGCTTGTTAATATTATGTTGTTTATATAATAAATAAAAGTGTTATTATTTTATGTTTTAAGTAAAAGATCTGGACATCAGTGGGAAAGGTAGAGTAAGAATCTGCAAAAAACTTTCCCTCTATAAAAGCAATGAGAAACTAGCAAGAAAAAAAAATCAACTTTCTCAGAACCTTGTAAATTAACCGAATGCTTGCAAAATCCAAGGAATGTTTATTTAAGAAAATTACTGACTCTTAGAATCAAGTTATGTGGTTATTTTGACATGCCCTAATTCCATCATTCTTTTTCCTGATATTCAATAGCCTTGAAAAGCACCAGCCCCATAACTACAGTACTATACAGGCGGCAGAAGGGGTTTGGAGTTACCCAAAAGCCCTGTGTGTGGATATGTGTTATTATCTGACCTATCTGGAAGTTCCCTGAAAAAACCTACTGTCAGGGCTTGTCATTATTACCTTACTCAGAGCTCACTCACTACAAACAATTTTTTACCTGGGGATTTGTCAAAAATAATCACCAGCAATTGTTTAACATTTCAGCTGCCTGAGGTAGTGATAATAGTTGATGCAAACAAAAAGCTGACCAAAAAGCTTAAAAGGGTTTTTGGGGGATGAGATGTCATTAGTGTCATTGAAAATCTCCAATAAATTCCCAAGACTCCAGAAGGCCACATTCATGAATAGGGCTGTGCACATGCCCAGGAAAAACCCGAGAAGGCCCTAATCACTCACCTCTGGCTGACCCTGAAACTCTACATAAGCAGGAAGTGAAGGCAAGGCAGAGTTGTAAACTGCTGCCATATCTTTGAAACATATGCAGACCCTTAGCAAAGGCTGGAAGCATTATTGGTTTGAGGCTTTTAAGGAAATCTCTGTTCAATCATTAGCTGAATACTAAGCTAACCAAGTAGAGATTTCAATGGCCACATAAGACAAAGAATACAGACTTTAAAGAATTACTTCAAGAAAGTAATTTAAAAAAATTAACTCTAACAACAAACCTGGAAAGAGGAGGGCATAAAATATCTTGAGTTGCCACATTGTATCATTTTAAATGTTCAGTTTCCAACAAATGACTCAGAGACAGACAAATGAAAAGAAAGTAAGACCCATATATAGGAAAAGAAGCAGCCAATAGAAACTGCACATGAGGAAGCCCAGATGTTAGACTTACTAGATAGAAACTTAAAATTATCTATTTTAAATAAGTTCAAAACTAAAGGAAACAATCTCTAAAGAAAACAATGAGAACAATGTCTCACCAAATAGAGAACATCAATGAAGACACAAAAATTTTTAAAAAACAAAAATTCTGGAGCTGACAAGCATAATAAATGAAATGAAAAATTAATTAGAAAGGGTTCAAAAGTTCAACAGTAAATCTGACTAGCAGAAGAAAGAATCAGTGAACTTGGTAACAGGTAATTGAGATTATCTACCTTAAAGAAATAATATTTTCAGGTTGGAAACATAGTAAGACTATCTCTATTCACAATGACATGATATATGGAAAATCTAATTTACAGAAAACCCCAAGGAATCTATAAAGAATTTACTAGAGCTAATAAAGTCTAGTCCAGTAAGGTTGCAGGATAAAAGATCAGTATATAAAAAGCAATTATATTTCCAACACTAGCAAAGAAAAATCTGAAAATGTTATTAAGAAAATAGTTCTATTTACTAGGGATCAAAAAGAATAATATACTTCAGTATAAATTTAACCAAAGAAATAAAATATTTGTAAACTGGAAACTACAAAACATTGTTGAAATAAATTAAATAAATAAATAAGTGGAAAATCCTCTCATGTTCAAGGACTGAAAACTTAATAATGTTAAGATAGTAATACTCCCCAAGTTAAGATACTGATTCAATACAATGCCTATCAAAATTACAGTTGTCTTGTTTGTAGACAAGACAAGCTGATTCTAAAATTCATATGGAAATGCAAGAGACCCAGAATGCCAAAACTATCTCAAAAAAGAGCAAAGTTAGAGGACTTAACACTTTTACTTCAAAGGTACAGTGTTCAAGAGAGCATGGTACTGGCATAAGGATAGATGTACAGATCAATGGAATCCAATCAGGAATCCAGAAATAAACTTTTACATTTATGGTCAATTAATTTTTGATGAAGGTGCTAAGATAGTTCAATGGGGAAAGAATGGTACTTTTAAGGAACAGTGCTAGAACAGCAGGATATCCACATGCCAAAGAATGTACTTGGACCTCTACCTCACACCTTATACAAAAAATTAACTAAGAATAAATCAAAGGCCTAAATGTAAAAGCTAAACTTTAAAACTGAGAAGAAAACACAGGCAAAAATCTTCAACTCTGGATGAGGCAATAATTTCTTAGAGACAGCATCAAAAACACAAATAAAAGAAAAAATAATAAATTATACTTCATCAAAATTAAAGACTTTTGTGCTTCAAATGACACTATCAAGAAAGTGAAAAGATGATCTATAGAATGTGAGAAAATATTTGCATATGTCTGTTTGCAGAATATATGAAGAGCTCTTAGAACAGTAAAACAGACAACTCAATTAAAAAATAGACAAAGCTAGTAACCACAGTGTTGCTCATGTGGTTGTATACTAATGATACCATAATAAAAAAATAGGCAAAGTATTTAAATAGACATTCTACAAAGAAGGTACACGAAAAACCAATAAGAACATGAGGAGATATCATTAGTCATTAGGGAAATTCAAACCCAAACCACAAAGAAATACCACTTCACCCCCATTAGGATAGCTCTAATTAAAAACACAGAAAATAACAAGGGTTGGCAAGGATGTGGAGAAACTGGAACTATTATACAGTGCTGGTGGGGACATAAAATGTTTCAGCTGCTATGGAGTATAGTTTTATAGCTCCTCAAAAAGTTAAGCATTGCATTAATTATGATCCAGCAATTCTATTCCTAGGTATATATCCAAGAGAACTGAAAATATGTCCTAACAAAAAGTTGTGCATAAATGTCCGTAATAGCATTATTCATAATTGCCATAAACGTCCATTAATTGATAAGTAGATATTCAAAATGTGGTACAGCCACACAATGGAATATTATTTAGCCACAAAAAGGAATAAAGCAGTAATACAGGCTACAGTGTAGATGAACCTTAAAAACATTACGCTAAATTAAGGAAATCACATACAAAAGGCCACATGGTGTATAATACGTTTATATGAAATGTCTGCATAGGCAAATCTATAGAGACTGAAAGTAGATTAGCATTGAAAGTAGGGGCAAGGAGGAAAGGAGAATGGGGAGTGACTGCTACTAGGTACAGGGTTTCTCTGAGGGTGATGGAACTGCTCTGGAATTAGACAGTGGTGATGGTTGCACATTTTTGTGATATATTAAAAACCACTGAATTGCACATTTTTAAAGTGTAGATTTTATTGTATATGAGCTATAATTCAATTCAAAGAAAAGAGGAAAAAATGACCTCTCTTAGATTTGTCCCATACTCTCTCTTATGATGTAGAAGCCCTGAGCTAGGGCTAAATTGAAAATCCTCAATGAAAGAAATTTGCTGCTGTTTAATTTTGGGGTTTTTTTTTTTAGGGTATGTTCATAACCTGAGGATCGATCTCAGGGAGCAAGGAGTTTGCTTTGTGCCTCCCTAACTCCAAGCAATAATGCTTCAAGCAGCACTAGATGAGGTGCTCCTCCCCATCCTGTAATAAAGAGCTCAACATCTTACTCGGGTTGGTTTTGCTGCCTCATCTTCATGTACAATGATGGAGAGAGCATGGTAAGTTCAACCAGAAGTTAGGAGACCTGTTTTCTAGTCTCAGCTCTGCAGTAACTTATTTAAGACTCAGTTTCCCTATCTGTAAAACAAGCGTTAGTACCAAAAGTCTCTTAAGAGCTTTTCCAGAGTAAACATTCTGAGATTCCAGGAAGGAAATCCCCAACATTTCCTACTCCTCCTTCCAACACAAACACACCCATAAACAAACATACAGACATGACAATTGAGCTATCATTTCCTACCCAAAAGAGATAAGCTTTGTAGTGTGGCTAATGGAAAAAGAACAGAAACAGAAGTGGAGCAACCCGAAGAATGATTTTTACTGGCTGGGATCCTCAGAGACTGTGGAATGATCCTATCAAGCAGTTCCTGGGTCTGTGATGTTTCTAAGTAGGAGATTGCCTCTGTATAGAGTCCTGATTGCGTTCAGTGGAATACGGACCTGTGCTCACAGACCACCTACTCTATTTTGCTCCTGAGTCTCCTCAGAGGTCACAGAAGTAACTGCAGACTCTCTAGCCCACAAATGTGTTTTGTTTAGCTTATATGATGACTTTTTAAAACCTAATCAATATTCTCAAGTCATGAAAGCTCATAAAATTATAAACATTTCTGACTTTTTAAAAAAATCATAAAATCTAGTAACACTGTACCCAAATTTTAACTTGTGAAAATTTTCGGCACTCTGTCCAGCACTGAACAGAGCCTGTTGGCGGCTGATGTCCCCGGTTTGCCCCAGCCTTCACTACCCCTTTGTGTCCATATGCCAAAGCCCACTATCAGGAGCCTTGTCATTTCACGTGTGTATTGTTGAGATTTTTTCCTACATTTGTTTTTTGCTACAGATGGGCTTTTATGTTATACTCCAACACTGGCTTAGCACCCATAGGAGGAAAACTCCCCAGTCCATATCTCCAGACAACCACTCCCGGACATCTCCACCTACCTACTCCACAGATAATCTTAAACTCAAGAAGCCTGAAATTTATGCACTAATTTTTCCATAAACCTCTTTTCTCTCTCTCTTTCTCCCTCTCTCTCTCTCTCTCTCTCTCTCTCTGTGTCTCTCTCTCTCTGACACCACTAACCACCCACAGTCAAGCAAGCCAGAGATCTTTCAGCTCCTGCCCTCATTCAGTAACTATTTCCAGCAGGTATGACTTCCTCTGTCTCCCACCCTAAACCACTGGCCATCTTCCACTTTCTTTCTAAATGCACACCGCCATGCTTTTTTCCCATGCTGTGCTCAGGGCCTGCTTTTGGTTTGGGAGCATCTGTTCAGCTTTAAATATTCAGTTTAGGGGTCAATGACACCTTTCTTTTCACCCACTACCATCCCCACTTAAAGTCAATCACCCTTTCTTCACCTGCTCCTTGTCCCCTCTGCATCCCTCCAGCCTCCAGCCAGAGCCTGCATGAGCCTGCCTACTTGTTAACTTCCTTCTTCCGCCCTCCGAGCCCACTGGGAGCAGGGATGGGTCTTCTCATATCCCCAGTACACAGCAGAGCACCTGTACACAGTAGGTACTTGACTCATAGTTAATAAAAGAAAATGAATGTGGGCTTAGCACCCATAGGAGGAAGTTCTTAGCCCACAAAGTTCTTACACACTTGTAAAATACACAAATGAAAGGAATAAAAAATGTAAGAGAGAACCTACAAGGAAGTGTTCCCTGGCTAGCACTGGAAGGAAGTAAATGGGATAATTTCTTATATGAGCCCTTGCCACAGACTCCTAACCTGCATCCTCTCTCCCCCACCTCCAGTGTATAGCCAGTGACCTTTCCTGAATGGAAACTAGATTCAGGCCCATTGCTTAGGGAGAAAACCCAAGAGCCTTAGGATTCAGGGCCCTTCCTATCTCTGCAGCCTCCTCTCCCACCTTTTCCTCCAGAGTGTCTGCTGCCCAGCCACACCGGCCTTCTGCCAGTCCTCGTGCACACCCCGCCCTCTCCCAGCACAGCACAGGTGCCTTTGCTGGAAGGCTCTTCTCTCCCTTCCTCGCCAAGTGAATTCCTATCAGCCTCTGGCTCTCAAAGTATTTGCTACTCCCTCAGCTGACTTCCCTGTCTGGAGAGGTCAAGACCTCTGTAACACCCCACACGGCAGGGAGGATGGAGCTACATGTGCACCCTGCCAGTTCATACTCTGGGGCCCCTTGGCACTCACTGGTACCAAATAAGAGACAGGGAGATAAGGCAGCTTTCAGTCTCTCTTTGGTGGATGGGAATGTCTGACAAAACAAATGCTCAGCAGTTAATGGAAGGCATCCCTCTTAGAGTGGTGGTTTAACAACCCCAGGGCATGCAGTGAGGGTCACGGGCACCCCCGGAGGTTCATTAAAGCAACCTCAACCATTCCAGGGTCAAGTGGGCTTTTCCTGGGGCGTTTCTGGTAAAGGCAGCACCACATTTTTCTCCCCCTCTATTACATTTCCATGGTTATTTCACCGCCCTCTTAGAGCTGATGTCTTTCAGCCCCACCCGCACACTTCCCCTCAGTCTGACACCTTTCTCAGTCATCTAAGTAAATAGGATGACCGCCTCCCAGACAGCCTTGACCCGCTCATGGGCAAGGGCCCAGGGAATGGGCTCAGAGGGGTAGCAAGGAAAAGCAGGCCCTTCCAGCACTTCTCCAGAGACCCTTGTCTTCACGTGCTGCAAGAGGCAAGCTCACTGAGCACACAGATGGCCAGATGATCATCCCACTCCAGAGACCCGTTCCCTTCCTGCCCTGGGGCAGAAGCAGAGCCCACCCGGTGGATGGGAGCAGCCACCCCAGACACAGCTAAGGAAGTACAAGTGAGGATGTACAAGACCTTCCAATACTGAGGTAACCATGTCTTTGTTTAACTTAGCTTCTGAAATCATTCTTGATAATGAGATCTGCCACGCCTCTATTTCATTTCCTGTCATACATCAGATAAAGGAGTAAAAGTCCACTGGGAGAGCCAGTGAGATCCCTATGAGAATGATCAAGAGCAGCTAGTACCTGGAATATGATTTGACTCGATTCTTGGCCTTCAAAAATAGAAAATGTCATGGGCTTCAGGGGTCCACTAAACCTCCCTTCTTGGCCATATCCAGTTGTCTGTCAAAAAAAAACAAAAACAGAAAATTAGCAGCACCATCTATTATGAATGTACATATGTCACTTGCTGATTTTATTATGGCTTCCAGAACTGTAATATATATAACTTAAGAGTCTAACCTGGCTCAAATCAATGTGAAATTTAACCAAAACAGGCAGCAAGGGGTCTAATATATGTTGTGGCTCTACTGTGTTAAGACAGCTTGCAAAACCTTTCATGGCTTTTCACATTTAACCGTTCTAGCAATCACCACATGGGAAGAATATTAACACTCCCATGTTACAAATGAGGCTCAAAGAGGTAGCCACTTGCCTGGAGTAAAATCTGTAAGAGGTTGACACAGCACACACACAGGGATCTAACTGAACAAAAGCCCATGATCTTCCCACAATGCCACTCTGCCTTCTAAATTCTACATGGTTTTACACCAGCTTCTTGAAATCTCCACAACGCTCCTATTTCTTTATAAGGGAATTCATGGCAGCTTCCCAAAACTTTAGAGTTCACAGTCACCTCAAGGACAATTGAATTTATAAGGGGAAAAAATATTCAGTACAATACTTGCTTGGCACATAGTTACATGTAAATTTTAGTCAAATTTGAACTGTAACTTTAAGGAGAGCTTAATATTTTACTATTTGACTAGCAATCTATACTCATGTAGAAAAAAATAAAAACATGAAATATTTACTTCAAGAAGCAGCCCTACAGTGTTTCTAAAATCCAGGATCCTACACTTGGTAGGTAGGCAGCCTCAGAGGACACCCACATCTAGGCTGGAATAGAAGTGGCAGCTGGGACAGCAAGAAGAGCTTGCATTTGGTAATTTGGATGTGCTGAGCTCTGTCCTAAGCACAGTTAGTCCAGACAACAACTATATGGGGTAAATTATTAAAGGTTAGCTCTGTTTTACAAGTGATGGGAATGAGACACAGAGGTGAAGCATGGCAATTTCCCCAGGTAGTGGCAGGAAGCAGGATTCAAACCTGCAACTCCACAGCCAGTCCTCTTGCCCACTACACCCCACTCCCCACCAGGGAGAGGAAAATCAACCAAGAGAACCTGGAGGGAAAACAGGCAGCTTCATGGATGTTTAGGAGGGTATGACACCCACCGTTCCCAGCCCAGAGGATGGGAGCACTCAGCCGCAGCATCTTCCATCCCTGTCTCCCACCTCGACTGCACCTCTAAAGGGAAACATGAGGCAGAGCAGAGCAGGTGGCATGCAGGAGGGTGAGCAGCCCTAAGCCCATACCAGAGGGGCACCCTCTGGAAGGAGGGAGTTAGAATCCATACCCAGTAGTGGTCCCCCTGCTTCCTGAGTCTCCTACTTGTGGTAGAAATCAGGGGTGAGATGGTTCAAATCAGAAGTATGATATGGTTTTGGAGCTGGACAGATAAAACCAAAAAAAATAAGAAGTGGAGGGAAGAGAATTGATTTTCTACTTCTTTAGGAAGAACAGGAACACTCTTGCCATAGAAATATTGAGAATAACCCAAAAACAGTGATAGAGAAAGGTCATATGCTGTTTCCCTCAAGTCATTAAATCTTGATTAAATTGAAACATGTTGTCTGGCAATAAATAAATAAATAAATAAATAAATAAATAATGAATGAATGAATGAATGAATGAATGAATGAATGAATGAATGAAATAATAACAAGCGAAAACACAGAGGGTTTTGGAATCTGGTCTCCTCTCCCTCAGAGTTGTGGCAGGCCCTTGTATAGTGGTAACCAGCTATCACCAACATCTCCCCCTTGGGAAGCCAAGTGGTCTCTTTCCCAGACTCCCTTGCAGCTAGGAGGGTGGCCAAATGACCAAGTTCTGGTTCATGAAACAAAAGTTGAAGTCTGCTGGGGGCTTTCTGGTCAAGTTTTCCAGTGGAAAAGGACCGAGGTGACTGGCATTGCTTTCCCCTTCCCAGTCATTCTTGCTCTAGCAACAGACCTTGCATCTATAGCCAAGGCAGCCACCATGAAATCATGACGGGACAAATCAGCTCAAAGGGTAGCAGAGCAAAGAGAAAGCACCCAAGTCTCTGAAGATACCACAGACAAGCTAATCCTGCCCTGGGCTTCCCACTTCAGACTCCTTGCTATCCCAGGAAAATAAACCCATTTACTGCAGACACTCTAAAGTTGAATTTGTATTGCTTGTAGCTAGAAGCATTCTTAACTGACACAATAATTTTACAGATTTCTAGCTCATCAATTCCTTTCAAGGTTTTTCTTCCTCTGGGGGCTCTTCCTCCCAGTCCTTCCCTACACCTTCTCTGGCTCCATTAGCTCCTCTAGAAGGTGGCCAAAGAACTAGGTGCAGGTGTCCAGGTTGGTTGGACAAGATGAGAGCAGAGCTTTCTGTGCAGCTTCTGCCAAACAGCCAAGGAGATTCGTCAACTTTCTGCTCACATCAGCAAGTGCATGAGCAACATCTTTCAGTGCATGAGCAACAGCATGCAGAGAAAAACTACATTAGTCAGGCAAACGTCACAAACAAGCCCATGTTCTTCCTACATGGGCAGCTGGCTCACCCATCAGGAAAGAAGGTGCTGTCTCTGTTGCAAGGTTCGAAGTTAGGTTCTTATATCAGGGTGACAGGTCTTCCTGACCATTGGCAGCAGAGCTATTTGGGCCATAAAGATTGCAAAATGCATGTGCACCTTCTGAGTCAGCAAGCCATGCCACTGGAACTGAAAGAATGGTGCAATGGAAACTTGTGAAAAGATGAGAGAGTTCATGCAGGAGCTGGAGGAGTAACAGCTACCATCTTGCAGAAAGAGAAGAAAGGAAGGGAAGGGAATGGAACCTGTGTTTTTAAGGGTTCCCTGTGTGGTGGTGATGAGAATAGATCCTCCACATACATGATTTCTTCTGTTCCTCAACAAATTCAGGGAAATATCCCCAGAGAACTTCCACAGCAGAGACACAGATAACTGGCGCTGCAGTGGGATGAGCCAGCTTCATTGGTACACCAAGCCCCAATTCTGAAGCATGTTTCTACCCTGTCTTCCAGGCCAACAAAAGGTGTGTGCAGTTCCCAGATCTGCCTGTCTCGAAGTCGCCCTCGGTATCCTTTCCAGCAAGAGTTCTCTGCATTGATTATATGGTATTTATGCCAAACTCTTCTTCCTTCAGGAAGCAGCATAGTCTCCAGCAAAACTCTGAAATAGCTGGCTTCTCCCTGACTTCCCTTCCCCGCTCCTCAGGACCCCTTCCCAACCCCCGGGGCTGCTCACTTCCTCTCTCTTCAGCACCCTTGCATTATATTCATGAGGCGTTTCTAACAACCATCTTATAAAAACTAGTTCTAAGAAGAGGAGAGCCACTCGCAGTGTGGAATAAACAACTGGCAATCAATTAAAATTGCTACCTCTCCTGAATAAAGCCTTATGCTAAAGGAAAGAAGCTCCAACTAAACTTCTAGTCCTTGAGGAGAGAGAGGGTTTGGGAGTAGGAGTGGAGACAGGAGAGAGAAGTAGCTCCTTCTCGATGCCCCTGAAATCCCACCACACAGTAACACCATCCCTCCTTCACCCAGAGCCAGACGTGTGGGGGGCTGTCACCTGGGAAAGGCTTTTGCTGCCAGCAGTGGATTGGGCAGCATTTCTCACTCCAGGCAGAAAGCCCACCATGTGAGAGTAGAGAAATCCCATCGGTGAGAGAGCAGGGGAAGCCCACTGGTGTGGGCTCTCAGACCAGATGAGCCCGCCTATATCAAATTATCATGATAGAATCTTCTTTCTCTCTTAGATCTCATTGTTTTGTAATGTAAGTCCATAATTACTTATTTAATTTCTACCCTGTTCCGGACACTGTGTTTTTTGCTGAGGCTGCAAAGATGATTAAAGCGTAGTCCTCTTCATGGAGGTCAAAGTCCATATACGAGTAGACACTGAATATTTAAAATAATAATAGCTAATATTTATCCAGTGTTTAGATTGTGCCAGTCACTGATCCAAGGGCTTTATAAATGCATTATCTCATTTAACTGCCACACATTCCATAAGGCAAGTACTCTTAATTAAACCCATTTCACAGAGCAGAAAAGGGAGCTTCAGAGCTTGCGTAACTCGCCCAAGTTCCTATCACTGGTAAGTGGCAGGGCCAAGTGTGAACCTACATCTGACTTCACCACCACCCTGTGATAATATATAGACAGAAAAGGACACTTGAGAGGGCAGGAAGAGGGGCAAAGGCAAGCGGAGATACTGAACCCAGACCCTGGGTAGTCCTAGTGACAAGCTCTGAGCCCTCCCGTCTGTGACTATGCACACGGTTCATTAAGTTTGAACTGCATCTTCCCGCCAGGAGGAAGACTCCATAGTTACAAGATTGGCTCTATTTCACTCTATAAATATTTTGAACTATGTAAATCTGTCTCTTCCAGTTCTATCCAGTCCAACCTCTAGAAGCCTATCAGTCAACAGGATGAGCTCAACAAGTGGCTAAAGACAAATTTGACCAAAAACCTCCAAACCACATATGGGAAGAAAAGTACAGAGCAGAAAAGGGTTGAAAATAGAGAAAAATGCTTTTCTTAATGCTTCAGTGGTAATTTTTCATGGTCAAACTAAGAAAAAAGAAAAAGTTAAGATTAAGGGACATAGACTAATACATGTATCACTATACTTTTCTTTCCAGATTCCCTGAGTTATGTGTGAATGTCTAAACCTGAGTGGCTAGATTCACTTTGACCTCGCCCATTAAGTAGTATTGGCTTTTAAGAGCTGAGGAGAAAGTGCCTCCCTGGTTGAAGGACAGATGTATGACTTGTAGCCATTGCATCAAAAATATCACACTGGGGAAAACTACGTCCTTTGTATGCAACTACTTAATTTTGATAGACTTTTTGATAACCATCCATTGTTTTCCTGGTATGGGGTAAAAGGATGGAGGACACATTCTAGTAAATAAATAAAGAACATCCTCTTCTCTTACCAAATAAAGTATAAGGACACATAAGCAGTGCAGCTGGGTTTGCATCACTGTCGTTTTCTTTATTCAAACTCCTGTGAATAACCAGAGATAAAAGTGATTAGTTACCAGTCTGTTAAAACCATGTCTTTCTAGGCAGAAAGGCTCACTGGCCAGTCATAAACCTGGTGGAATGGGACCCTAAAGGCCAGGCTCCTCTCTGTGGGACGGTCCAGTCTTCCAGAAGCTTCGTGGTACCTCATTCATAGCAATACACAGTCGACATCCCCAAACAGGCTCATGGTAATTCTGTTTCTTTAACTGCTTCATTTTATTATAATCTTCTTCATTTAAGGGCCTTAAATGGAGGGCTTATTGTATAATTTTCACTCCTATTACATGGATGGGAAAGATATGTTTTGACAAATGTCAGGATAAACAGATACTACAATTTTCATGGTTCTGACTCAAAGCAGCAAATATATGAGATTCTTCAAGCAGAAGGAACCCAAGAATATTCACGATCTTCCAATCAAAGATCTCCCAGCTGCCACTTTGGTCTTCTGAACATTGTTGTTAACTATGCAAAACACCTGTGGGACAAACATCCTTCTTATTCCAAAAGCAACCAAATAAGAATCGAAACTCTGCCCTAATCTCTTCTGTTCTGTGTCATTTTTCCTTTCTTCCTTGCGGCTTCACATTCCTCAGAAATTATAACTTTTGCCCTCACACGTGTTGTGACCAGCTGATTTTAAGATCTGAGATAAATTTTCCATATGGCCTGTACATATATTGATATAATAATTACAACAGGGCTGTTGCCTATCATAATATTGGACTGCTAAAACAAAATGAAAAATGACGAATACCTTCATTTCACTAAAATTTCCATCACTTTATTATCTTAGGGATTATGAATGATCTTGGTTTAGTTCATCTTTTTCTTTATTTCCTTAAGTTTTTCTACATTGAACTTATATCACTAATATAATCAGCATGGGAAAAGGTTATTAAAATCCTAACCACTCTAAAAATTTAGACCCTGACATTTTTTAATTCCTTACATTTGGATCTTACACTTGAAGTTTAAGAAGGTTGAAGTATTATCACATTTTATCTAACTCATTTTTTAATTTTTAATTTTAATTTTATTTTTATTTTTAGCAAAATGACCATTCTTGTTTCATGTATGAAAAAGCTGAAGTTCAAAGTTAAGCAATTTGCCTGAAGGTACATAGCTAGGAAGTGACACTGCCATGCTTCCAACCAGATCTGTCAGATTCCAAAGTCCAAAAGCCCTTTCAGCTCTTCCACTATGACCTGTATAGTGGGATAGCTGCAGAGACATAGGTTCAGGCGTAGATAGAGATGTAGATGCAGCTACATCTCTATAGACATATATCTATAGTATCTCATAGAGATGTAGATGTAGCTATACGAACAATGTGCATACTGCTTTTACATGCTATACAAATTAATTGTCCCCAGGTTCTATAGCTATTTTAAGGAAGATCTGAGACTAAAACTCTTCAGGGCAGTTAGATTCATAAATTCTATGATGGTTAGAAATTAGCTTTTGCAACAGAATTAAATTGGTGAATCCAAACATTATTTTAGAATTGGCTCCTTATCTTAAACACAAACAAGACATTTTTCTGCTGCTTATGAAGCTTGGAAATATAAAGAAAAAAATAACAGCCCCAAGTTCTAAGATACTGAAATATGAACTACAGATGAATGGATGAATGAATGATTAGTTTGAAGTCTAACTCATTTTTTCATTTTTAATTTTAATTTTATTTTTAGTTTTAATTTTTAATTTTTAATTTTACTTTTATTATTATTATTTGCAAAATGACCATGATCCACTATCCCCCATATATGCTTCAGAGAAGTAAAAATATAGACAATAATGACACATGTGGGGATCTTTCCCCTCAAGCTCCTCAGCACTCAGGATCTTTCAAAGGCTGGTCCTAACTCTTACAGCCTTATCTCCCACTCCCTCCCACGCCCAGCAACAGTGCTCCACAGAATGGACTTTGCACCCGAGCCTTCCTGTCTGCCTGCTTGGGCACCTGGTGTTTTCCCCACCCAGCACAAGGTCCAGCCTGGAGCAAATGGACAATTGATTCAGATGATCCATCCTCACCTCTCCTTCTATGTGTCATATCTTGCTACCTAAACCTAACTAATTCATTTATTTTAGAAGCATTGAATTATTCTAAAACACTTCTATCAGGTGCCAGATACTGTGCTAAGAACTGGGATACAAAATAAGGGGTACAACAGAGTCTGCCTTTATAAGAGCTAGAACCACAATCCTACTTCCTCCATGAAATTTTCCCTGATTTCCAGTCTGTAAGCCTTCCTCTCAAAGCCTCTCCAGAATGTACTTTATTTTTTATCATTTATTTACAAGTCTGTGTTATTGTCTTTACTAGAAAACAAAATCCTGAAAGGCAGAGGCCTTATTTAAAAATTGGGTTCTTTTTTAACTTCTCAGGGCTCTTCATACTACACCTTGCATATATTAGGTCCTCATCGAATGTTTGTTAAATTCTAAAACATTTGTGATTGTCTTACACTGATACCCTATGAACTTGTTCAATCTGTAAGTTTTCTGAATAAACATAAATGCTAAATTAATTTGAGATTTAAAGATTTATTTCAATGCAAAGTAATATTTTTATTGTTGATGAAATGAGTTGTTTCTCTTTTAAATACACTAACAGATTTCTGCTCAATAAATACATTAAGAATTGGTTGAAACGCATCATCTCTCTTTGAATTGATTTTTTTTAGCACTTTTAATATTACAAAACACACATAAATTGAATGTAAGGAAGGCAAATAAAAATAAAATAAATGCTTAATTTAGTGAGATGCTGGGACAGGCCACCATCTGGGGTGTACTGGAATCTAAAAAGTTAAAGTAGCAATGCATGTATCCTCTATTTCGTTGTTTACATTTAGTCTCATCCTTCACAGAAGGATTTCCAGGGGAAAATAGAAGTAATCGCTTTCCACTCCCATGCCTGGGGTTCTATGATTTATTTGCAGACAAATCTACTCCATGACGCAGTTGCTAGCACGGCCCCCAGACTGGACTGGTTGGTTTGGATCCTGACTCTTCGGCTGACTTGTATCTGCTCGTGTAAAGCCTGGATCATAGTAGTATCTGCCTTACAGTGTTTGTCAAAAATGCATTCTGCCACTTACGTTTGTTTAGTCGGAATTTTAAACACTGGCTTACATGACGTCAGCTTTCATGATTCCCAGCTTCTAGTGGCCCTAATAACGAGGATACTCAAGAAGCAGGCCCCACAGACGCATCCTCAAGCCAAAGAAGTGGCAAGGCAAAGCCTTGGTCTGAGTGATTCAAGGTGCACTACACTGCTGCTAGGCGTATGCCGGAAGACAACTTCAGCCTCTCAAACAAGTGTTGCCTATATTTCCCTTTGCATGGACACAATTCCACTTATGAATCTCACATCCTGGATCATAATATTGCTGAAGGGAAACCACAGTTTATACTAGAAATTGCCTAAAACCACCAAGCTATACACACTTGATATATTTCCTCACAAACACTACATGGTAAAGGATTGGAGTAGATTTCTAGGTAACTCAGTGACATTTTATCTAAACTACCTGAAATACTTGATCCAACCATCTGCTTGGAATTTTTACTATTTGTTGGGGTTTCCCTCAGGTACAAAGACTAAATTCAAACAGTTTCTATAGCAGCTATCTGAGAGACCAAGCACATCCTTAGCAACACAGGTCAAAGGTTTGGGGGGGGGAAGGGAGTTTTGAAAAGCCACCACCACTTGCTCTAACCATGGACCACTTACAAATATGCAATCCAGGCTGCTGGCCTTGCTGCTTAGGCCTGATGACTCACTTCACCACAGCCCACAAAATACAAATCCCTCCACATCCTGAATCTACCTTCAGCCAGGATAACAATACAAAGGCAGCTAACATTTACCGAAAAGAATTTGCCATACACATCCGAAGACTTCTATATGAATTATTTTACTGATTTCTCATAAGAACCCATTAAGACTATTAAAATTTACCTCTTAAAGATCAAAAATCAAAAGGTGAAGGTCAAAGTTAAGAGACTTGCCCAAGATCACACGGCCTGGCTGATTCTCCACTTACACACTGATCATATATTATTCTCCCCCTGAAAGCACAAATACCATCACAACAAGACAGCTCGTATCACTAAACCTGTTACATATCTTTCCAAAAGTTCAAACAAGTATTTTTTTTTAAGCCATTGCTTCTTTTCCTTTTCAGATGCCGGCATGACTCCACAAGCTCAGAGGAACAGCAGTCCACAGCTCTTTCTGTGCAGTCCTGCCTCTCCTCGTTTCCCCTTTGCCTTCACCTCAGCAGTCTCCCAGGTTTTAATCGAGCCTCTTGTTAAGGGTTGAATTGTGTCCTCCTCCAAATTCATATATTGGAGTCCTAACTCCCACGTACCTCAGAATGCAGTCTTATTTAGAAATAGGGTCTTTACAGAGCTAATGAAGTTAAAGCGAAGTCATTGGTGGAGGTGGTGGAGCCTACTCCATAATAACTGGTATGCTTATAAAAAGGGGAAAATTTGGACACATAAACACACACAGAGAGAGAAGCTAATATGAAGAGCAGAGGGGGAAGTTGGCCACCTACAAGTCAAGGGGAGAGCCCGAGAAAGGTCCTCATTGCCCTCAGAAGACCCAGCCCTGCTGACATCTTGATTTTGGACTTCCAGCCTCCAGAACTGTGAGACAATAAATGTCTCTTGTTTAAGCCACTCTGTCTGTGGCACCTTGCTTTGGCAGTCCTAGCAAACTAATACACCAAGGATCTGTGGCTTTGACTGAGAAAAGTGATGCCATTCTGGGACAGAAGTGGCCTCAAATGGGGCTTTTTTCAGTCATTATACATATGGTGCCCACAGTATCCCAGGGGGGTCCACTCGAAGTTTTATTGATTCTCCTGCTGGGCTTAAATGCCTCCAAGAGGCATTTTTAAACACTTTGTCATTTCCCCACTTATCTGAGTAAGGCCATGGAATTTCTATGTCCCAAAC